ACTATCGAATAAAATGGTTTACAAAATGCATTTTTACTTGTCTCGCATAATATTAACTTTTAATTACTTTGCTATTGCAAGAGGAATTTGGGCGAAACAAAAAAAAGAAAAAAAAAGAAAGAAAAAAAGAAAAAAAACGAAAAAAGGAACAAACTGATGAAGTAAAAAATAAACACGCATTTGTGGCCGTGTGATAGAATGCACGTTACAAATCAATAAATAAGAAAAATTAGAAGCTACCTATTCCTTTGGCCTTTTTTACCTATCGACCACTTTCAAATTGCTCCTTAATGTACTCGTACGTATTAGTATCCAGGAGAATTGGATTAGTTTCGAGCGAAATGGCTGCGCGAAAATGTGTTCCGTAGCAAACAAGTGCAATTTCATGTAGTAACTTTCGACGTAGTTGTGTGCGTGTGATTGTGTCTATGTGTATATATATATATATATATATATATATATATATATATATATATAATATGTATGTATATATGTGTTCAGTACTCAGTACTCGGTACTGGATACTCGTGTCTAAATATGTATTCTACGTGCACGTCTATAAAATAACGAAGAGGTATTTATACAAATTGCTTTGACCGCTTTCGATTAATGTAACATAACAATGAAAATAATGGTAGATAGTATATATATATATGTATATATGTATATACAATCGGGAAGACATTAGTGATGCATAATGAGGGTACTCACCACCAGTTTGTCTATTTATCCTTCCCATATATATATATATATATATTTGCTACTTATCCTTTATTTCCTTTTCTTTTCGTTATCCTCTCCCTTTAATCTTTTCTTCTTTTCTTTTATCGAAATTATTTATTTATTTATTTATTTATTTATTTATTTATTTATTGATTTATTACAAGATATTAATAACACAGATATTAATTATTCACGATTTTCTACGTATCCCGTTCGTTTTCTGTTTTTTCTTCTTTTTTTTTTTTTCATTCTATTTGGTTTTTATTTTTTTATCGACATTATTTATTTATTTATTGATCTATTAGTAATTGATTATTCCGTCAAATATTGATTTTCTATGTGTCACGTTCGTTTTCTCTCTCTCTCTCTCTCTCTCTCTCTCTCTCTCTCTCTCTCTCTCTCTCTGTCTCTCTTTTTACTCCTTCTATTTTTTTCTTTTATCATTATTATCTATTTATTTATGTAAATATCGATTTATTAGACATTAATTATTCCATTATGATGTTAAATTTGACAATTGATGACATTCGCATGGAAAAAAAACAAAATAAATTATGGATTTAAAAAGTTTACGTAAATATTGGAATATTTACTGAAGTATTAGAATTTTTATTAAACGTGACAGAAATAGAGATATTGAATATTAATTTTAGTTTGATCATTAAGCATTATTATATATATTCTTAGATATGCAAATATCATTGCATAGACAGTAATACTTTTCTTTGTACGATAAAAATTATAGTGACACAGAAATATATGAAAAATGAGAAATTCAATCATATATACACTTGTATTTATGTACATGATTAAAATCGAATAATCATTAATAAAGAAAGATAAAAAAACGTAATGAAATAGAACAAAATTTTAAAAAAATTAATCAAGTGTACAAAAGTAAGGAATACATGGAAACGTAACTCAAACGTAAATTTTTTATGTTCAAAGAAATCAAATATCCTTTCGTTACTACGTAGATTATTATTACTTGTTAATATATATATATATATATATATCTTTACGTAGGAGTAATAGGATTAAATGTTTTCTTCCACGTGGCTTTACAATTTTTTTTCTTTTCTTTTTTTTTCCTCTTTGTCCTTGTTTCCTTTTAAAGTCGTCGAAACGGATACGTAGCTATCCTATGTAAATATTTACCACGGAATTATCTTAAAACGAAAGGTACACTCTCTCTTCCTCTCTCTCTTTCTCCCTCTCTCTCTCTCTCTTTCTTTCTCTTACTTTACATTTCTCAATCTTTCTCTTCGTTTTCATTTATAGGTCGACTAAAAATATTCAGCTACTACCAACTCAATTATCTCAATTAACAAATGAATCTTTTCTTGGTAGGATCGAAAGGCAACTACGTTGAATTGAATAAATACTAATACTACTTGTCTCGTTGACGTTTACATAGCGTGCAATAAGTTTTGAAATAAATTTTGAATATAAAGAGTTAATACAATTTATATATATATATAATTTGTAAGTTATGTACAATATGCACAAAAGTACTTACGTTCATTGTTCAATTTAGTCACATAGGTTCATTCAATTTTATCGCGTGCTCGTTATCTAAGGATACGAAAAAAAAAAAAATAAAATAAAATAAATGAAATTACTTAGTCCTTTGATCGCAATCACGTTCTCTCCCTCTCTCTCTCTCTCTCTCTCTCTCTTTTTCACTCTCGAGAAAAAAAAAGAAAAAAAAGAAAAGCCTCGCACGAATTAATAATCGTGAATGCAATTCAAATTACGTTCGTTAGATTCGACACAGTAAAAAAGATAAAAAGAAAGAGAACGAGATATATTTATCCCTTTATCCATTATTTGTTCAAATGTCGACGAGTATATACAATTTGTTGTTTCATATACGTTTGAAAATATAATATTTTTCCATTAATAATCATCTTTATTAATCTTTTTTCTTATTAATCAAATGACATATCTAATGAATGAATGAAATAATTTTCTTTTAGAACGGTGGTGCCAAAGATGGATACGACATGAATTTAGGACCAGCCTGGCAAAAGGGTTACACGGGTAAAGGCGTAGTCGTATCCATATTAGACGATGGTATTCAAACTAATCATCCAGATCTTGCGTTGAACTATGATCATGAGGCGAGTTATGACATCAATGATAACGACTCGGATCCAATGCCACGAGATAATGGTGATAATAAGCATGGCACTCGTTGTGCTGGCGAAGTAGCAGCAGTGGCTTTTAACCAATACTGCGGCGTTGGAGTTGCTTACAATTCCAGCATCGGAGGTAATACATTTTTTTTTCTTTTTATTTTTAATCATTTCGAAATAAAGGAACAAAAATGTTTATAATATGACAGGTTTATCATTTCTTTAAATCTAAATGATTATTAAAATTTCTCTTATCTTGCTTATAGTTATCTAGATTTTCCTTTTTCTTTCTTTTATAATTAATTACTTTTTTAAATTGATAAAGTAAATATCTTTAGTTCCTGAAGATAGACATCACTTTATACTTGGTTGATAGTATCGCTCGTATTTACCATCTGTCGGTAAGAAACATTTTTTTTTAAATCCCTTCTGTCAGGCAATATTCGTACACGAAAGTATAAAGTGTTGCCCATTAACAGGCACGATATATCCAATTTCTATATATAAAAATTCTAACGTCGTAAATGTCGTAAGTTCAATATCGACGACAATAGTGAAATTCTTCTTAGAAAACACGCAAACTTCCTTTAATAATAATATTCGTCGTGTCCTAAATAAATGAGCGAACTACGTTTAATTTCGCTTATTGACAGAATTATTTGAGATCACGTCGCGTTTATTATTATTCGAGATGCGTCTCGTGTTTTTGGGGATGCAATTAATTCAAGAATCATAGGATCAACCCCTATCGTTGAAGAGAATTGACGAACTTCTACAAAATCTTAGCACGTAAGATTATACATGCATACATACATACATACATACAAACATACATACGTACAATAAATATAAAGGGTGTCTCAAAAGTTGATATGGATGAAGACGAGAGTCATTTCTAAAAGAAGAAGAAGAAAAAAAATATATAAATAAATAAATAAATAAAGGAAAAAAAGGGACAGAAAATAATGTCCTCCTTGTAAAGAAACAATTAAATAAAAAGAATGATTTCTAAGTTTATGTCTCGTATTGGTTACTATCTGGTTGAAAGATCGATAATCTTTTTTGGGACACCTTGTATATATGATATATATTTATAGGTAGAGAGTAAGAGATAGATAGAAAGAGAGAGAGAGAGAGAGAGAGAGAGAGAGAGAAAGGGTGAAAGGGAGAGAGGGAATGTAGAAACTCACGCACGTACATACCTAACGTGTTTTCAGGCGTACGAATGCTCGATGGCCCGGTAAACGATGCCGTCGAAGCCAGAGCGCTAGGATTGAATCCTGATCACATAGACATATATAGCGCATCTTGGGGCCCTGAAGACGATGGAAAGACGGTCGATGGTCCTGGTCCGCTCGCTAGAAGGGCTTTTATTTATGGAGTAACAAGCGTAAGCGAATTTCATTCGTTTTAACTTTTATCTTTCTCTTTCTCTCTTTCTTTCTTTCTTTCTTTCTTTCTTTCTTTCTAATTTTTTTTTCTTCTTTATTTCTTTTTCTTTCTTTCTCTGTCTCTCTTTTTCTCTTTCCCCTTTTTTTCTACGAGTTATATTAGAGCGTTAAACTTTTTACCCCTCGATGATTCTCCAGGCGAAAAAGAAACTACTGTGTATTATCGATTCGAAATCCGATGAGAGCAAAACCCCTCTATGTTATGTAAAGTAGAATAACTTTTGGGCTGACTTCATGAATTTCTGAAATTACTTGTGTGACATTTACTACTTTTCTTTTTCTTTTTTTCTTTTTTCCTTCTTTTTTTTTTTTTTTCTTTGGCTTACCTCGTACGAATACTGAAAAATTCGTGTTATAAATTAGAACAGTTACAGTGAAATATCGATATTTCTTTAAAAAATAAGTATTATTAATACTCACTTTGCTTGTATCTTCAGAGATACATTAGAAATATATTATACATTTAAATCTCTAATAAATAAAGTAATGTAAATTTATGATGGTGTTGTACGAAAAAGAAAGGTTCAAAGGTCAAATTGTGTAGTATAAAAGTTCCTGTCATTGTAAAAAATATGATAATAAAGTATACGAGAAGAAGAGACTCGTTTGGAGAAACATCGAAGCGTAATATATACATACATATGCGGTACATATATACATATATATATATATATATGTATATATATATATATATGTATATATGTCCCAGAGACATATGAGAGAACTCTTGATATTTGCTCCTTCAAATATTCTCATGCCTCTCTATGTTATGCTTTATCTATCATGTTATTCGAATAAAACGTTTGACGATGGACACGTACACGATGAACAGGGTCGCAAAGGAAAAGGCTCAATATTCGTTTGGGCTTCCGGTAATGGTGGTAGACACACGGACTCATGTAATTGCGATGGATACACGAATAGCATCTTCACGTTATCAATATCGAGCGCAACTCAAGGAGGTTACAAACCGTGGTACTTGGAAGAATGTAGCTCGACCTTGGCTTCAACTTATTCCTCGGGAACACCTGGCAATGATAAGAGCGTTGCAACGGTAGACATGGACGCTAAGTTACGACCAGATCACATATGCACCGTAGAACATACAGGGACATCTGCATCGGCCCCATTGGCGGCTGGTATCGCTGCATTGGCTCTAGAAGCAAATCCAAGTTTAACCTGGAGAGACATGCAATATCTCGTAGTGTTAACGTCGAGATCTGGACCCCTCGAAAAGGAACCCGGTTGGATACTGAACGGGGTCAAGAGAAAGGTCTCTCACAAGTTTGGATACGGGCTTATGGACGCAGGCGCTATGGTCAGTCTAGCCGAACAATGGACCAATGTGCCATCACAGCACATCTGCAAATCCGACGAAATAAACGAGGAACGGCCCATCGATCCGACTTACGGATATACCTTGAGCGTATATTTGGACGTTACAGGATGCGCTGGATCCTTGAACGAAGTTCGCTTTCTCGAGCACGTTCAGTGTAAGGTAACGTCCTCGATTTTTTGATTTTTAACACGAAGAGAAAAAAATTTCTCCAAGTATTTATTGATCTTCTTCTTCTTTTTTTCTTTTTCTTTTTCTTTTTCTTTTTCTTTATGTACATCCCTTTTAAACTGATATATCCATCAGGTATCTCTGAGATTCTTTCCACGAGGTAATCTAAGGTTACTTTTAACCTCACCAATGGGTACCACGTCAACTTTACTCTTCGAAAGACCACGAGACGTTCTTAGCTCCAGTTTCGACGATTGGCCTTTCCTAAGTGTACATTTTTGGGGTGAGAAAGCCGATGGACGTTGGACATTGCAGATCATTAACGCCGGAAGTCGGCACGTCAATTCCCCAGGCAAGTATTCATCGTTGCTATTTCAAAGTCCTAGATTCACGTTCTATTATCCAGATCTCGAGTCGCTCGTTAGATAATTTTATTATTGAGACGTTCCATGAATTCATAATCATTCGACGCTTTCCCTAATGATCGAAATATATCGTAGACGATTTAATCAATAACCGATTGCAATTAATAAGCGCAAACGTACAACAATATCACGTTTATTCTGTCTCGTACATTTTCAATCTCATATTTTACATCGATGACTAGCAATTGAGATTTATCGACATTTGAAAAAAAGAAAAATCCGAATGTTCCCATTCTCATCGTGATAAGTGTATAAAGTAGTATGTCGATTCGATAAATTTCTCATACTTTCGATTATCTGACGATGAACAAACAAAACGTAGTGTAATTTCTGCGAAGTAAAAAGAAAAAAGAAAAAAAAAAAAAAAGACCAAACAAAAAAGAAAAAAGAATATAATTATTCATTATTTCTTCTCGCGAATAATTTTGTTCGATTAATCGACCAAACGAATTTATTTATTGATATTGAAATCAATGAAATAAATCGAAAAATATTCTTGAGAACGACGTAATAATTTTAATATTAAAATCTAATGTATTCTCACGGAAATATTTATTTATTTTCTTTCTTTCTTTCTTTCTTTCTTTCTCTCCATGAGCAGGTATACTGAAGAAGTGGCAACTGATATTCTATGGAACAGCAACGAACCCTATCAGGATACGGACACGTCAATTTAACCCGGTACAAGCGCATTCTCCGTTCTCGTCCGTGCATTACCCGTTCTCGATAGACGATGATCCGCTAGCTCAGGACCATCGGGACGACACCGACTTCTTTGCTCCGTCTACCTTTCAGAGTTACCAGGGACCTTACGCTGGTGCAGCTTCGAACGTCCATGCATCGGTGGCCACTCTTGATGGTTCCTCGGCTCCAATCTTGACGAATCGGTTACCAGGCGATACAGCAGCAGCTTCGGGATTCGATTCACCTTCGGTTCCATCCTCTCAGATAGCAGATGGTTCCTTGGATACAACCAGGCAGATACTTCATGACTGTGATCCACAATGCGATTCTCAAGGTTGTTACGGAAAGGGTCCAACGCAATGTGTCGCCTGCAAGAATTATCGGCTGGACAAGTGAGTTATTGGATTACTTTCGGTGATATCACTTTCTTCTTTTTTATCTTTCTTTTATGATATTTATCAACTTTATCTTCTTTCTTTTTATATCTATGCTAATTGTTCTTTCCTTTTTCATCTTTCTTTTTGATTAACTCACTTTCACGATGAAAAAGAAAATGACTCAAAGTTATTAGAACTAAATTGATGAAGAAACTTTCCAATCTTATTTTTTTGTCTATTTTCTAATTCGAGCATGTTGAAATTGTTTTCCTCATTGTGATACTAATCAAAACGTTTTGTTCTCGCTGAATAATGCTGAGTGATGGAACTCTCTTCCTCTTTCTCTCTCTCCCTCTCTCTCTTTCTCTCTCTCTTTCCCTCAAGGATGGGGTGACAAAGGATCGAGCGTAAATTAATCGTTTTTGTCTGTGTTCGTGTGTAATAAAAACCAAGAAATAATAGGAGTAAGACGACACATAACAACTCGTTCTTTCGCTTTTCTATAATAATTTTCACCAAGTGGCATTACTACGATCTATTTTTATTATCTCTTGAATAAGAGAGAATCATGCTTGGGATCACAAAAACTCTGGTTTTTATTACACGTATCCGCGAAAACGAAGAGTACTGTATTTGCAGTACGTGCGTCAGTCGCTGTCCACCACGAAGTTTCCCGAATCAAGGTGGTGTTTGTTGGCCTTGTCACGAGTCCTGTGAAATTTGCGCTGGTGCTGGTCAAGACTCTTGTCTATCGTGTGCACCCGCTCATCTACGAGTTACCGATCTAGCCGTTTGCCTTCAACAATGTCCGGAGGGTTATTACGAGAGTGAGTAAAGAAACGAGATAAAACGTAAATTGTGTTAATCGACCAGATTTGAGGAAAAGTAATAATAATAATAATAATAACAACAACAACAACAACAATGTACAATGATCTTTCATAGATACGGAGAACAGCACGTGCGTGCCCTGCGAGGCCAATTGCGCCAGCTGCCAGGACAGACCGGACAAGTGCACCAGCTGCGAGCATCATTTGGTGATGCACGAGAACAAATGTTACGCGGCCTGTCCTCTTTACACGTACGAAACGCAGGACTATAATTGTGCACCCTGTCATCCCAGCTGCGAGTCGTGTAATGGCACGTCTGAAAATCAATGTATAGCTTGTCGACCTAATTTATTCTCACTTGGCGGTAAGCATTGTTCTCGGAGAAATATTGTGAATAAAATCAATCTGTTTGAGATTGATTCATGATTTTATCCTTGATATCCTCCATTCATAGGTAACTGTCGAGCCTCTTGTCCAGCTGGTTATAGTGCCGATAAAAAACGACGCGAATGTGTATCCTGTCCACCGGGATGTCTGACATGCGTAACTTCTAGCTGTATAAATTGCATAGAAGGTTGGAGTTTAAACAAGAAAGGTGTATGCGCGCCAGAAAGTCGAAATCGTTGCGACACTGCTGAATATTACAATGATGGACATTGCAAACCTTGTCACTCGACCTGCGAAAGTTGTGCAGGACCCACTGAGGACTTTTGTATATCTTGTCAAAGTCCTCTCTTACTTCAAGGTCGTCGATGTGTTTCACAGTGCGATGACGGTTATTACTCAGTCGCCCAACCCTCCAGGCCGATTTGCGTGCCTTGTTTGCATACTTGTAAGAGTTGTGTCTCGCGACTTAACTGCACCGCCTGTCAAGACGGTTTACAACTTCAGAGTGGCGAATGTAGATCATCCTGCGCGCAAGGGTAAATCTTTACCTACGTCTTCAATATATTCAAAATTTATTCGAGGAGCAAAACATTTTTGATCGTTATATAAATTGACCTTAATAACTCTAACACGTTGCCTATGGCAACGATCCAATTACGTAAAGATACAAAAGAAATAATATCTTCGAATCTAATAATTATATTCATAATCTTTTTCTAATTGCAGCTATTACAGTGACAGAGGCCAATGCGCCAAATGTTATCTATCGTGTAAAACTTGTTCGGGTCCTAGGAGAGATCAATGCGTGACTTGTCCAACAGGTTGGCAATTAGCTGCTGGCGAATGTCATCCTGAATGTCCAGAAGGTTTCTTTAAGTCCAATTTTGGTTGTCAAAAGTGTCATCATTATTGTCGTACGTGTAAAGGTAGGTGAAGGATAGAATGTTCCGAATCACGATGCGTAACGCATTTAATTTCTTTTCTTTCCTTTTCTTTTTTTTTTCTTTTCTTCTTCTTTTTTTTTCTTTCTTTTTTTTTTTAGGCGAGGGTCCACTCGAGTGTACGTCTTGTCCGGCACATTCCATGCTGGAAGGTGGTCTATGCATGGATTGTCTTGGTGCACAGTATTACGATCCGTTGACGCAACTATGCAAGAATTGTCATGCGGATTGTCGCAGATGTACAGGACCTGGGAAATTCAGTTGTGCCGCTTGCTCACCTCCTTTGCATCTTGACAAATTAAACAATCAATGTGTGCCCTGTTGTACGGGGTTAGAAAAGGGTCCACATACCGATGAGTGTTGTCTCTGTGACCCAGAAACCGGTAAGTTATTATATCTTAACACGTTGTGCATTAATTTAAAAAAAAAAAAATTTAACAAATAAAGTGATATATCGTCAATCTTTACGTGGTAAAACGTGTCGAATTACACGGGGAGAAGAAGAAGAAAAAAAAAGAAAAAAATAAATTATTACATACAATGTAAAAATAGTACTCTACGTATCGATAAGTAATTACTCTTTGGCGATAAATAAGCCGTATCGCGTGCGTCCTTACAAGTTCGACCGTAAAAAAAAAAAAGGAAAAAGGAGAACAAAAAAAAGGAAGGAAAAAAGAAAAAAGAAAGAAGAAAAAGAAAAGAAACAAAATCCTCCGACTTTCATCCAATACCATCCAATCCCGTGTGGGGGAAAGTATACACTTTTTCGATGGAACTTAGCAATCTTTCCTTTCCTTTCCTTTCCTTTCCTTTCCTTTCCTTTTCTTTCCTTTTCTTTCTTCTTTCCACTCCTCTCTCTCTCTCTCTCTCTTTCTCTCGCTCTCTCTCCCTCCCCCCTCCATCTTTTCTTCCCCGTTTTTCACTCTATCAAAAAAGGCGTCGGTAAAAGTTTTAAGGTAGGAAGGAACGTTTCCAATAAGAGTTGTATCGTCGAACTTTCGGCACGAACTTTATATGGTTCGTCGAACGACGTTCTATCTTTCACCATCCTTCTCACACCCCTTTCGTTTTTCTTTCTCCCCACACCAACCCTCCCCTTTCCCTTCCCCCCGGACATTTTACAAAGAAAATACATTACGTAAGAACATCTAACGGAGACACGCAACGCCATATTAGAAGAAAGGAAGAAAAAAGTTGTGCCTCCTGGGAGAAACCTGAAATGAAATTCAAAATGATTTTAGATGTAATCGTGTTATATCGGACGAGAGAAAAAAAGGGGGCGGGGGCGTGGGCGTAGGGATGGTTAAAACATATATAGAAGATGGACTAGAGTTGTATTAAAATATGGATAAGAGGGAGGAAAGACTTTTTTCTTCTTAATTTTTTTTTTCAATTTTCATCAATTTTTTGTTATTGTCAATGAGAAACTTACGACTGTTTTCTCGTTGTTAAGGTGGCTGCAGGAACAGTTCACCGGCTGGCAAAAGAAGGGTACCATCGAGAGACTCCTCGATATCCGAAGGTTACGAAATAATTGATAAAAGTTCTGATAATAATGATTCAGCTTCGTTGGCCGTAACAGCAGCTACGACTATGGCCGTGGCGATTTGTTTAGCGTCAGTTGCGCTCTTCGCAATGATATTCGTTGCTCTTCAAGTACGTATGTATGTTTTTTTTTTTATTCTATTATGGGTTTTCTTTTAATTGAAAATATCAAAGCTCTCAACATTTTATATTTCATTGATCATATTCTATACCTATAAGTTTCTAAATGTGATTTGATATATATATATATATATATATATATATATATATATATATTTATATATAAATATATAAAGTGTAATATTATTCGTTATTGATATTAATATTAATATTTCGATAATTTATTATCAATATTAATCGGCCGATATTAACTTATTCATGTATACTGACACAATTTAAATTCATGTCTATATTTTAATATTAATATAATAATAACGTTGACATTATTATGTCAATTGTAAATCCAATTAACATATGTATTTTAATAAATATTTAATTACCCTTAGGCAATATCAGCGAGAAGACAAACAAATATGGGTTACACGCAATTAACCGTTAGAATGGAATCAGTGGATGATATCGACGCTGATGATACGACGGAACTGATGACATAGAACATTAAAAATAAAACTTAATCACAAGCAAACATAAAGAAGAAAGGTGATACCATCTATATTCTTTCGTCGAAGAATCTATGATGATCGATATACGTTTCTCGATCTATAAAACGTCACGTATGTCATATATCCGCATACACGCATACATACTCAAGCGCACACACACACACACACAGACACACACAGACACACACATGCACACACAAACATACGAACGAACAAACGAACGAACGTATAGAATCAAGAATGTAAGTTTGTTTGAATTTCTTTCGAAGCGTTGAGATTGAAAGCGAAGGATCATACGTTGCTGAATCAATTCTGACACAAATAGGAAAGAATAAAAATGAGAAGGATAAAAAAAGGAGGAGAAGAAGAAGAAGAAGACGAGAAAGATGAAGAAGAAAAAGAATCAGTAGCAACTGAAAAAGTTTATACATAGAACGAAACTCGATACTGTGTTAGTACATGTGTGCGACGACTCCACTTTGCGTGTGATATCACGATGACGTTTAGTTTTATTCTTCGACGTCCGATCGTTCGGATGATGAAGAGATGATAACATAATAATACATGGGATGAGGGAGGGGGGGTATTTCATTCAACGAGAAAGAATAAGAGAAAGGCCAAAAAGAAAAAAAAAAGAAAAAAAATGGAAAAAGGAAGAAAAAAAAACATTAAAAAAAAAAAAGAAGAAGAAGATACACATATAGAAAAAGGATACACAAACAAACAAAAAAATAAATAAACGAGAAGAAGATACAAAGGGAAACGGAAAAATAATACATCGATCTATGTCGGGCGTTGTTTTTTCTTATTGTTAAATATGCGCACGTCTCTCCGTGTGTGTGTGTGTGTGTGTCTATCTGTGTGTATAG